ACACAGCGTCAGCGGGTTGCCCCGCCGGCGCCTTGCAGCACAGGCTCCGCCGCTCGCCACCTTGTCTCCCTTGTTGTGCACCCCTCCCCACCCCTCCCCGCCCCGCCTGCCCACCTGCCGCCTCGCCCCCTGCTGCCCCATGCCCCTGCAGGTGGGCAAGCCTGGGGAGGAGCAGCTGCGGCTGTGGGCCCACCACAGCACCACCGCCACCGTGCCAGACCAGGTGCTGCGCCGCATCGGCGACGATCACGTCTCCTTTGTCTTCTCTCTGGAGGTGGACGGCAGGGAGGTGCCGCCAGAGCCGCCGCTGGAGCCGCTGCCACAGCGTGCGCAGCAGCAGGGGCACGCCACGCACGGCGGCCGCCTGCACCGGCAGCCGGTCCCCGGGGCGATGCCGGCGGCGGCGCGGGCGCCGCCGGCGGCAGCCGCGGCGGCCGCGCTGGCCGCGCGGCAGGCGGAGCAGGCGGCGGCGCCGGCGGCGCCCGTGCCACAGCAGCAGCAGCAGCAGAAGCAGCAGCAGGGGCCAGCCAAGGAGAATGCGGCATCCAATGCCGCCTTGGCGTCAGGTTCCAGGCTGGCGCTGCCCGGCCGCAAGCTGCATCAGCATGCGGCGGCCGCGGCCGGCGCCGGCGCCAAGCGGCCGCCAGGGCTGGCGGCGGCGGTGCAGCATGCGGTGCACACCGTCTCTGACAGCGACGATGATTTCAAGTAGCGGCTTCCCTGCTCTTGTAGGCATTTATGAGGTAAAACTGTGCAGTTGGAACCTGTGGGACACAAGGAGCGAGCGGCATCAGGGGCGGGGGTGGGTGTGGCGTCTGGCTGCGGGTGGAGGGCGCCGGATCGACACAGCAGACCGGCTGGCCAGCCTCTCTCAGAGCCACTGTTTATGGCATCAAACCACATGCTACAATACAGCCCCATCTCTGTGTGCATGCCATGTACTAATGCAAGGATCACAGGCGCCAGGGACATCCAGGCGCGACAAGACGCAGCCGTGGCTGTCCTGCCGCAGTACCTCCAAGTGCATCCAGGGCCGGGGCCCCTTCTTATTCACCCGGTGCTTCTCCCTGGATCCCCTTGATTTGTGAATTTTCATCCCCCGCCAGCACTGAGGCCGTGAACATGGGACTTGGGGCGAGCAGGGCGGTGCAGGATGGGGCCATTTGGCGCAGGGTACGTATGCTAGACCGCCGTTGGTGTAGTTCACTGCGCCGCAAGCCTTGCAGCGAACAAAGCAGCAAACACCGACAGCCAGCAACCACCTTCCTGCGCTTGCAGGAGCCCATACCCTTTGCGCACGCTCCAACGAAGCGCCATGAAAACGCCGCATCCAACACCCAGGAGCTGGCCGCCACCTCCAGCGGCGCAGCTACCGCCCTGCCGCCGCAAGGTGGCAGCCAGCTGGAACCCACGCTGTCGTCCGCCTCCAGCGGCCGCCATCCACGGGCCAAGCCAAGCCGTCTGGCCTCTGCTACAAAAGCGGCATCATGGCGGCAGGCCTCAGTGAGCGCCAACCCGCCGCCTGGCGAGGGCAACCAAGAGGAGGACGGCGGCAAGACGAAATCGGACCCTTGCGGCAGCATCCTTCTTCTGCCCCTGATGATTCCGCTCGTTCTTGTTGTTGCACCCATCGTGCTGGTCGGGATGTGCCTTGGCTGCATCGATCCCACGCCGCCAAAGGCCGGTGCTGCAGGGGGCGCGGCGCAGCCCACGTCTCGGCAGCGAAGCCAACGTGGCTGAGGCTTTTTGAGTTGGATTTCTCGCCTTTTCTTTACCTGTTGCCAGTTGTACTTGTTGCCAGTTGTACTTGCTCAATTTTGTCACAATCCTCGAGCAGGCTGGAACAGTGGTCAGGCGCACGGCGGCAGGCGGCGGCGGTTGCAAGGGGCGGCAGGGCTGCGGGCGACAGGAACCCACACCAGCCAAGCAACATCAGCGAGCTGCGCGAGTGGTTAGGGCGCCTATATGGGTTCTCGACGAGGCTTGCATGGAGTGGCATGGTCAAAATTCGAACCCCCATCTCGGGCCCTCTTGCTCTCAGGCGCTCCTCCTCCTGACGCGCATTCGGTTGTTTCTTGGCAACATGCCGCTTAGCAAGGCGACCGTGGGCCTGGCTCTCTGCGCCGTGGGCGCTGGGGCGGTGCTCGGGCACGGCCTGCTGCCGCTCCTGAGGCAGGGCGCCCTTCCAGCCCCTGGCACGGCCTTTGCCCTGGTGCGCTACGAGGGCTGGGTGCACAACCTGCTGGCCGTTCAGCTGTTTTGCTGCGCGGTGGTCGCAGGCATCGTGAGGTGAGCCCCCGGGCTGGGCCCGAGGACCAGCAGCAAGCTGAGGGCCGTGTGGCAATGGGACTCCCGACTTTGCTGCGGAAAAAGAAGACCAGCAGAGAGGCTGCCGCCCCCCCGCCCCCGCCCGCTTGCAACCTCCCGCCGCGCAGGCTGGGAAGCCGCAAGAGCATCGGGCCCAGTGCCCAGCTGGCCCTCTTCCACGACGGCCACGCCCTGGTGGGCGCGGCGCTGGCCGTTGGCCTGCACGGCGGCGCCGCCGCCTGGCCGCTGGCCTTCATGTGCGTCGGCCGCGCGCTGGTGGGCGCCGCCCAGGCTCTGCGCCTGCGAGTGGGTGTGGCGTCCGCTCTGGTATGGGCCTACGCCGCCATTGCCGTGCTGGTCACCAACGCATCGGAGGGTGCGGGTGCCGGGTACTGGTGCGAGCGCCTGCTGGGCCCCAGCAGCGCGCTGGCGCCGGCGGCGGCCGCCCTGGACGCCGTGCGCGGCGTGGCCCCCGCCCACTTCACCGCCGGCCTCGCCTTCCGCTACACCGCCATGCGCTTTGTCAGGTGGGGCAGGGCTTGGAGGGCAGGGCTTGGGGGTGCAGGCTGGGGGGCAGGGATGGGCCGCCTGCCTGGCGCTCAGCCAGCGCCGATAGCGGGCGCTCTCGGCAGGCACGGCTGGTGTTGCCCAGCTGCCACCGCCGAGCACACCAGCACCAGCGCTCGCCTGGTCCCTCCCGCCGCACGCCCGCAGCTGGGCGCTGGACACGCTGAGCGGGAGGGTGGTGGAGGCCACGCGCTCCGGCGCCGTGGAGCGCGCCTGTGCCGCCTGCACCGCCGCCGCCGCCCCAGAGTCGCCACGCATTGCTGCGGTGGTGCCAGGTGGCGCCGGCTCCGCCTTCAGCAGCCCGGCCTGGGTGTGCGGCCCAGGCGCGCGAGGGTGCTGCTGGGCTGGGGCGCCGGGCGCTGGGGCCGCCTGCCTGCAGCCTGGGGACGGCAGGGCTCATCCTCCCAGCCCACACACTGCTGCGCTGGCCCGGTGCGCCGCGTTCCGGCCCCCACACACTCTCACACACGCCGGCCTGCCTGCCGCCGCCATGCGCCCGCCGCAGACAGCCCTGTGAGCAGCCCCGCCAAGGTTCACGCCACCAGCAGGGTGGGCCTGGCCAGCGCCACCTGGCCCGCTTTCTTCTCCTACATGCTGCACGTGCCCACCTACCTGGCGGGGCCCCTCCTCACAGCCGCAGACTACTACCAGCAGGCGGCCGCCGCGTCGGCAGGCCTCAAGACCGCTGCCCCCTCCCTGGCAGGTAGGATTGTTTGGCGAGGGATGGGCGGGCATGGTGGGTCACGCCACGGCGGGAGCAGCTGCCGACGAGCCATGTCCTCAGCTGTGCTTCCTGGCAGCCCCGCAGCGCCTGCCCTGAGAAGGCGCGCCCCCGCCCGGCCCCTGCAGGCGCCGCCTGGTGGCGCGCCGCCGCTCGCATGGCCGGGTGTGTGGCGTTTGCGGAGCTGCTGCGCCGCACTTTCTTCGCCGACGCCGCTGTGCAGGCGCTGCTGGCGCAGCAGCCCTGGCAGTCCTGGGCGCTGGGCTACTGCGTGCTGACTGCCCTGTACGCCCAGAGCTATGGTGAGGCAGCTGCGGCTGGGGGCTGGCCGGCATGCGCCTTGCCTGCCTCCCTTGCCAGCCGCTGCTCAGCGCTGAGCACGGCACGGTGCAGCTCAGCCGCATGTGTGACCCAGCCGCCTGCCTGCCGCCACCCCCTTGCCATGTCCCTCCCGCCATGGTCCTCTTGCAGTGCCCTGGACCTTTGCCCGCCTGTGCTCGGGCGCGCTGGGCATCGCCACGGCGGACGAGGTGCCGCTGGGCTTCCTGGCCTCCAGCACCTCCCCTCGCACCTTCTGGCGAAGCTTCCACGTCAGGTGCGTGTGGTGTGTGTGTGTGTGTGTGTGTGTGGTGGTAATGGTATGTGTCATTAGTGTACATGTGTGTGGTGGAGGGTGGGTATCTTGGGCATGGACTTGACGTGTACTGCCAGCTGTGTGTGCCTCAGCTCGACATGCCTCTTCATGCAACATGTCCTCCCTATCCGCCCCGCAGCTGGTACCGCTGGCTGTGCGCCTACGTGTACGTACCGCTGGGAGGCTCCACCGCCGCCCTGGCCGCCACCCTGGCTGTCTCCACGCTCCTGCACGGCACTCACAGGCGAGCGAGGCGCTGGTGTGCCGTGTGCCAGTGTGCCGTGACGCGAGGTTGCAAATGCATCCGCCATCTTGGGGGCGGGCTGCTGCCGCCTGCCGGCTGTTGCCATCCACCAACTGCCAAGCTTCCAGCCACTTCGAGTGCAGGGCCTGGCTGACCTGGGGAGCCATCCAGTGCGGCGCCCTGCTGGCGGAGCGCTGGATGGAGCGCCGCGGCACGGGCCCGCTGTCCCGCCTGCACCCCCACCTGCGCGCCGCGCTGGCCCAGTGCGCCACCCAGACCACGCTGCTGGTGCAGGTCAGTGCGCAGGGCGGGGCGCGGGGCCCCTGTCAGCAGGCCTTGGTAGCATGCTGTGCGATGTGCTGGGGGTGCCCGCTCTCCTCCCAGCCAACTCACGCTGCCCCTCCCTCCTCCTTTCGAATTTCTGTCGTCCGTCCGTGCAGCTGCCGCTGGGCCCCTCCTTGCCCAAGTTCCTGGCCTGCTTCCACGCCGTCAACCTTCCCTTCTGTGTGCTGAACGCCGCCCGCCTGGCGGCGGCGGCCAAGGGCGGCGGCCGCGCCGGCGGCGGCGGCAAGGACGCCCTGTTCCAGCGCCGCAAGCCCGCCAAGCTGGCCTGGGAGTGAGGCGAGGCTGGGTGGGCAGCGTAGGCAGGCTGCGCACGTCGCAGCACAGACAGCGGCGTTAGGGGCCAGTGGAGCGGTCGGCGAGCACCGCCGCCGCAACAAAGAGCAGCGCAAGCAGCTGCGGCCTCCTGTGGGGAGCAACCAGAGAAGATCCGAATGAGAGCACACCACCGCTTCTTATCCTATCCTAGTATACTGATGTGACGACTTCTTTGCTTATTTTTTGTGCAACTGAATCCCTACCCCACGCATGAGTTGCAGGCTGTTGCGCCCTTAGCAGGCTGTGGGCACAGTGGGTCAGGTTACAGTTTGGTGGCAGCGGATGGCACACAAGCGCCGGGGGGTGGGGGGAGCGGTGGGGGCAGCGGGGAATCGGGTCGGGGAAAAATCCAGCTGGAAACGGAGAAGGGGGGCAGCAGCAAAGGAACTCAACGAGGGGGGGAGGAAACAGTGCGTTAAAACAAGCGTTACAGGCGGGCAGCCGAGGCGCGGGAGCAGCACACAGGTGAGGGGCGCAGCAGGAGCGGGAGGCCCGGCAGCCGTCTGGTGCAGAACCTACTGCTAGGGTAGACAGGCAGGCGCGAGGCGGGGCCAGGCACCAGAGCCACAGCCGGCCACACCCTTGGCCGCGCCTCGAGCACAGCACAGCCGGGCCAGAGCCAGGGCCCAGGCAGGCCAGGCCAGGCCAGGCCAGGCCAGGGGCGTGGCGGGACCACGCACACCCGGGCTCGGGTCAGTCGAGCACGATGACGGTCTTGCCGTGCTTGAGCGCCTCTGCGCGACTCAGGATGACGTGCACGTCCACCGGCGGGTAGCGCTGCAGCAGCTTCATGTTGCTGGCAAAGTCGCCCTGCGGGGAGGCGGGCGAGGCGGCGCGGCGGGAGCGGCGGTGGGCCGCACGCATGCGCGGGGCCGGGCCGACAGACGCCAGGCAGGCGGCAGGCGGCAGGCGGCCCAGCCTTCCAAAACCCAGCGCGTCCTGCTCCAGCTCACGCTGCCCACACTTGGCTCTGCCTCCTTGCCACACAGCCTCCGTCCCGGCCCCTGTTCCAACCCGCACATCTCCCCGCTCTCCCACACCCCGTCTCTGTACCCCCCACCCACCACCACCACTCCACCACCCCACCACCCCCCATCTCCCCACCTCCCACCCTCACCTCCATCAGCTCCTGCCGCACGTGCAGCAGCATGGCGGCGCAGAGGCGCAGCAGGCAGTCGGTGCGCCCCGCGGGGTCGGCCAGCAGGCTGTCCCACAGGCGCACGGCGT